TTATTATAATATAATTACATTTTTTTTAAAGTATGCTTTTCAGCATGAATGTATTTGGCTGAATTCCAGCTTGAGGTTCATGAAGGAACCCAGTTGTTTGAACAGGAAAGCAGGTCTGTTTGAGCTATGTGTTGTCTTTGGCTGCTGTATGCGTACTGTAGGTTTAATGTCCTGACATTTTCCATCTTACTTTGACCTACTTTACACAGAGCCATGTATGGACCTGCTAGTGGAGAAAAGTGAATTTATTTTAAAGTTGTAAAATCAATACTGTGTGATGTGAAATCAGTGCATCTGCCAGACACAGCTGTACTATCGCATAATGTATTGATATTTGTATAAACAGTGCTTGGAATAGGTACTTCTATCGCAGGTGTTATAAAGCAAATGATGGTAAATCAACAATGAAGTTAAAATTTCAGTTAAATTTTCAATTAGTGTTTGACCTTTTACAAGTTCAAAGACAGTAAATCAAAACCACATTGCAGGTGCAACTTTTACTGCCTACTACCCAATAAGGCACCATCACTGGAGTAAAAAATAGGTGAACAAAAGGTGAGGTTTTTACTTTTGGTCGCCATAGTTAATATTTCTGCATATTAGCGCCAAAAGCAACACAGGTGGACCCATTCACTTCTCATAGTGTAGATGTACCACTGCATAAAGCTTTGCAGCTGCACTTCCTGAGGCTTATCAATGTTAAAGAACTACTGTGACTCCTACCAGGAGAGCATCAAAAAGCCATGTGAAACCAAAGTGGGAAACTAACACCAAGCCACAAATTAATTCTTGGCAGCAATTCATGCAGTTAAAGTAAGACATGCAAAACTACGAACAGCATGCTGGCACTTGACAGCCTGAATCAGAGAACCAGAAAAAGAGTCTGTAAAACAGACATAGGGGCAGACAGAAAAACAACACTGTCTGACGTGTTTATTCTACAAAGAAAAATCTGGATAAACAAGATTTAGTGAACAAGTTGCCCAGCAGTCTGTAGATGACATGCTGCACCCTAAGGCAAATCAGAAAACAGATTTACTGATCCTACTGCCTGATCTGTTAGTCACAAAGCCAGGAACTTTTCCAAAACCTGCTCCTGCTTCATTCTCTGACTGCATTTTGACCTGAAAGACGGAAACTAAAGTATGTTACTTAGCAGGTTTCACAGTCAACAGCTCTGTGCTTGAAAACAACTTGGTGTCACTGTGCTACCATGCCACCCACCCACTACCCCTGTCATCATCATTCCACATCTCTCCATCTCAATGGCTCTCCAACACATATAGACTTACGGGTGGCATGTGTTTACCATCTCTCCATCTCCCTCGTCACTCGTCACTCTGTCTCTCTCTGAGGCAGAAATATACCAGGTTAGAAACATATCTATCCCAAGGCCACTCCCTGGTTGCATGCAACCAAGGTCTGATCCAGCAGAGGACGTGTCTAGGACAGTCTGGGATCTGCATCATTATGCCAGACATACACATATCAATAAGAACAAGGACGTTGTGTCTAGAGGTGTAGAAGTGTAGTAGCTGCTATTATATGGCTGTTTTTTATGAAAGTTTTACTGCTTTCCAGAGTTAGACATTTGTGCATAAAAAATATAATTAGCTATAACTTTATTTTTATAACATTTAATTTAAATAGAATTAGTCATTTAGTCATGCAGCTCATTCATGGTTGTTCAGACTGACATAGTTGGAGACTAGCTGGTGAACAAAGTGGAGCATTTAACAGCCAAAGAGACAGATATTTCCCCCAGGAGCTGGAGCTAAAAGGAGAGTGAATATTGGACTTACATTCACCAAGAACAAGCAACTGTTTGCTAACTTGTTTGCCATTACAACTTCAAAGTTGTTAATATGGCAGTGCAGTGTCCAGCTTGTTTCTGCTGCCTCCCAAAATGGCAAATAAATTATTAATTGCTTTAAGTAAAAGTAACAATACCACAATCCTACAATACTTAATTACAAGTAAAACTGCATTCAAAGTCAAAAGTAGAAGTACAAAAATATTGATTTGTAATACTGATGCAAGTGTTTAATCCGTAAAGTAACTAGAAACTGTAGCTGTCAAGTAAATGTAGTACAAAGTAAAATATTCACAGAGTAGAAAGGTAGAAAGAAAAGTAACATGGAATCTAAAAACAGGTACCTGTACTGTACTCAAAACTATGTACAGTAATTGAGTAAATGCACTTTTTACCATTATATGGCAGTGGTCTCACAAATACTAGAATTTACCTTTGATCATGGACAGTTTTTAAAATTCTGCACTGATTATGATCCGTGTGACAAACGTACTGTACAGCGACACAAGTGAAAACTGGAGGTCATTTTGGCGTGTTGGCGTGAGGGGGCTTGTTGGAATTGGAGGAGCTTGGCAGGAGGCTGCAGGCTGTTTCTCCCATGCTGGGTAACAGGATGTGCAGCAGAGAGGTCGTGGAGTGTCCGGGGGGAGAGAGGCCTCTTATTTACATACACTGAGCCAGGCTACGACCTGGTTCACGGCACTCAAATTTACTAATGGGGCCCATAGGACGCACAGGGGATGTCAAGAAGACAATCACCCCCAAGGTAACTATGAGGCATTCCCTGCCCCTCTCTTTCTCTCGCCTCTATTGGTTTCTGTGCTTATCTTTCTCACAATATCCTTGCCTTGAACTTCTCACACTTTTTTACCCTCTCTGTCCCCCTCCAAACTTTCAAAGCACTGAACTTTAGTACACCCTGCCCCTGTAGAGATTATCCTTCTTTCCTGCCATTAATTGTATAAGTTATGGTCAGCCTAATTAAGCACCAGAAACGCATGCCAAGTTTTCCCAGCTCAAAGCAATGCGGGGAGTTTTAGAAAGGAAAAAAGGCTGAAATCTCTCACTCAAAAAATAGTAACTATTTTTTTTAGCTGTTTGCAAAGCACAGGGCTTCAATTCACTGCTGTCCAGGAAATAACAATATAACAGATCCAGGAAGTTCAAATAACACAGAAGACTTTGAAAGAGGTACATTTTGAGGCAAATAATGTTTGGTAAAAAGAAACCCTTGCGTATTTGTGTAAGCAACAGAAATGTACTGTCGAAACAAAAATGAAATTACAAGACCAGGAAGAGTAAAATGAAGAGATGACAGCTTGAAAGATGACAACAAAAAGCCAGTTATGTAAGCAAAAGTTCAAATGGGAGAGACTTCATTGCGCGAAGGTCAGAAAAACAAGCCATCCATTTATTTTTTGAAGGCTCCATCCCCCGCAATGCATGCAACTAAAATGTGTTTTCCCACAGTTCCCTGCACAGCAATGTCACAGCACAAACAGCAGGTGCGCAGACAGACGGAAGAAATGAGGGACTGAGACACAGGGTCAGATACTGTTGATAATAGTGAGGCCTGTTGTGGATGGATGAAAGAGCTGTTTTGAAGCTCTGTGGCACACGTCCTTAAGTAAACATTGTAAAGCGCTGTGGCCTTTGTGTGACAAATAAACTGGCACAGTGAACCAACCGCAATAACAAAGTCAGGCATTGTTCCTGAGGGCAAATCTGATGTGATCCGACTTTTTTGATGGCTGCCTTGAGACCTGTGATTTCAAGGTAGCTTCAGGTTCAATGTCACCTGAGAGAAAAAAAAACTCACTTGCTTGCAGTTTACATTTGTTACCCACCACTACAGAGTAAGAAAGCCTCTTAACAGTGAGATCATCCCCCACCCTCAACATGGTCCTAAAGGAATAGTTTGACATTTTGGGAAATATACCTATATGCTTTATTAATGTGAGTGAGTTGGGAAGATCAATACCACTGTCATATCTGTCAGTTGTAAAAATATAAACTACAGCCAGCAGCCACTTAGCTGAGCACAAGACTGGAATTAGGGACAATTACCTTGCCTGCCACTTTTACGCTTTGGTTTTTATACATACTGAAAAAAACAAGATATAATGCGTCAATTAGTGAGCTTTGGAGGTGCTTGTGGATTTTGAGATCCACAGATTGGACAAAAACATTTACCAAATCTTTCCATGGAAAGTTTAATTTCACCTGTCATTTATGCCGGTGAGTTAGAGGGACAAATGGGAAATGATTTTTTAAATGACTGCTTGGAAAAGAGGGTGTTACCAGCACGCCTGTAGTCTGAAATTTTGCATTTTCCACCCCAGGCACAAAGAATTAATCATCACAAATTAATTATCTGGAGTAAAATAAGATAACACAATATACCACAACAGGTAATTTTTGTTAAACTAAAATAGCTACACATACTAAATAACTGCACACAAGACTGGTTTTCTTTCGCTTTGTGAGGCCACTCAATTTTAATTAGATTCAGGATTTTAGATTAATGTGGATCAGGGCAGTCAGAGACAGAACAGAGAACAGATGGTCAGAGGTCATTAACTCAATGTGACGTCCAATTATTCTTGGAGTGCATAGGTTTTTCTATTGAATGTTTTGGTTAAAAAAAACTCCCTGTAAAACTCTAGTTTCTACCTCTCTGGTTTGAGTCTCATGTCTCAACACACTACAACATCATTCACTAAAGGTAACATTAAAAGTTTGACATTTTGGGGAATACACTTATTTGCTGTGTTGCAGAGAGTTAAATGAGAAGATGGATACCCCTCTGATGTTTTCATGGTAAATAATGTGGGATGAATATCAAGTCCAGGTGGTTTAGCTTAGAACAAAAACTAGAAACATGGGGAAATAGAACTAATCTGAAAGTGTTATATCTTATTTGCTCAATCCGGACAAAAACCGAAGCCCAACAGCTTCAACATGTGCTTTTATAGGTTTTACAACGGTTGGTTGCCACCGTGAGGTTGGCAGGCAACAGAAAAACCTTGGTTTTTGTACACAACAAACGAGATATAATGTGTTAATAAGTGAGCTTCAGAGGTGCTGGTAGGCAAATTTTGTTACCTTTGGGCAGAACCAGCATAGTTGTTTGCCCCTTTTTCCAGTCTGTCCACTAAGTAAAGCTAAGGCTGCTGGTTGTAGCTTCTATCAATTCAATTCAGCTTTATTGTACCATACATACATGATAGCTTCACAGAATTTCCCAAACTGTAGAAGTAATCTGCAGAAATGTCAGTGCTAAAGAGTGCACAGCTGCTGTGTTACATTTACAGGTCAGAACCCCTTCTGTCTTGAAGAACACATTGTAATTCAAGCTTTCTTTCCTTTTCCTTCTCAGAACCACCAGCTGCATAGCACTTGACAGTAAGAGGCTGTCTGCCAGTTACCCACATTTTTCCCACAACAGGCCCCATTCACAGTTAGATCCCTCTTCAGTTTGAGTGTCTCCTCCAACTGACCTGTTTCCACTTCCACTCCTGTTAATTAAAATGAATGGTGCAATGAATTAGTATCATTGTGATCAGTAACCTACCCCCAGTGCCCTTGAGTGCTCCTTACTCTGTGGTAAACACAGTATGCGTGATTGAATGCTTCAAAGAAGGCCAATTAGTTCATGGGAATCAGGCTTGATAACCACGGTACACACCACCAAGGGGCTAGTTTTAGGGACAATCTTGGGGGAAGTGCATCCTGTCTGTACATCTGAGGTTTGGGGTCCATGAAATGTAAAGGATTGGTTCTGCAGAGCTCGTTTAGCGCTGACAGCTGCCCCATTTGAGCAGAATCCCCAGACAACGTAAATATGTGTTTGAGTTATTTACAGCAACTGCATTTAGCATTGGAATTTATCCTTGACCTTGGTAACTTGTTTTCGCCTCCAGAGAGGGATTTTCTTCTGAGCCAACATTATTTTACAGCAGGGTTCCTCATTATCTACATAAACACATGCTTTTGATATTTTTATGCCACCAATAATTCAGTATTTTAGTATATTTACTGTTATTAATACACAGTTAAAGGAATATTTTGAGAAATAACTTATTCACATTCTTGCCAATGATGAGAAGATTGACACCACTTTTGCATCTGTGCTATGTGCAATGAACATACAGCCTATGGACTGTTTTTTTAGCTTAGCATAACTTCTGGAAAAGAGTCCTTTTTGTTATTTTCTACCCCTAGTGGGTGAGAGGTGTGCTTAGTGGGTTTTAGTTTTGTCTATCTGTTGCTTGTTCCCTTACCCCTTGCGCTCCCTTTCACTGCACACCTGCCCTTCATTTCCAATCAAGCAATCTGTCTGCTATCAAGTCATCACTTCACCACTGTAAGAACCCTGTGCTGACATCGAGTCTGTGCAGGATCGCTGTGCAACACGTGGTATGTTTATGTGCCTTCTGCAAACCTTCACCCCCCACCCTTCCTTCACCCAGCCCAAACATCAGCCAACCACAAGCTCCCCTTTCTTGTGGCCCTTCTAAATTAAAAGACTTTTTCTCCTACCTGCCCATATGCATGCTTTTGGGTTCTGCATTTCATCTGTGACAGTATCAATCTTCTCATCTAACAAACAAAACAAAAATGTGGAACTAGTACTTTAAACATCAGTTCAGTACAGTGCATTCTGTCATCATGGTGTCTTGCATAAGAAACAGACTCAGCATATCAAGTTGGTACTTTTTTTTTTTTTTACAGCTGTTGTCTAACTCTGGATTTCCAGGAAGTAAATAATAAATAATAATGAAGATGAAGGAACAAATTACTCAAATTCTATGCAATCTGGCACCTAACCGCCCTGATATTAAATGTCTGAGCACTCACTCAAAGGAATATATTCTTCAGTGTTGTCTTTCCTAAATGTAGTTACTGCATTTAGCCTGAGGTTAAATTCTAATACTGTTTGAAAACGTACATGGGCAGCATTTGTTTGCTCAGTGTGCAGGGACAAGCCTAATCCAAAATACTGGAAGTCACTGTAGATTTTCATGAAGAACTCACAACATATACAGCTGCTGAGGTCAACCCCAGTCTATATGTATTAACATTTTCCAAATTGGGATGTATGTACATTCTGTACTTTTCTGCTTCCTGCCAGCTGGGACACTCATTTAGTCGATGAGCAGTGAAAGTACTGAGGGAAAAGCATAAAGCATCTGAGGAAGGTAAGATGTATAAGGGTCATCCATCAGTGGAAGCTTGTTCCCTTTGACCAGTCTGAGAAGTAAAGTGTCTCATGGCAATCATGAGAGGCATTCATTTGTATCATGTAACACATCAGTGCATGTGTAAGCTGAGCATGAGATATAAGGAATGTAAAAGGATACAAGTATTTTACCCTGTTCAGCACTTTGGTCAACTGTGGTTGTTTTACATGTGCTATATAAATAAATTTGACAGTGACAAAGAAGATACATGCGTGAATGACATGTGTAGGCCTATATGTGCATTACAATAGTTGACCATATGCAGATTTTTAAACTTTTGGCAATATAAAAAGGCAAGTCAAATATTTGTGGGAACTGAAGGAGTCTCTTGATATATGTGGATGCCAAATGGGGACCATCGTTGTCCAAGCACAGCATGTCAGAGTCCTCACAGGAAATCTCTTATATCCTCTCAGCCTGCTGTCCCTGCCAGGGCTTGTTTGTGTTGAACCAAACCAGGGGTGAAATGAATCACGCCTAGTCTCTCAGGACTGCTGGAGGCTAAAAGAAAAACTGCAGGTTTTTATTTGGTTCAGTGCCATATCACATTCAGTATGCAGTTCCTGGGGCAACAATATTACAATATAAAACAGTCAACAACTGGATCCCGCTGGATAAATGGGGTCCAGGTTGAACAAACATAAACAATCTGCTCTTGCTTTGTACCACTGGGAGGCAGTAGTGTGTTTTACCTGGCTGTCTGCATCTCTGATTTAAGGCAAATGTTTTTCTCTGCACATTTGTACCTTGCCTGTCAGGACATGAGTATGTCTGGCTGGTTTGTCTGTACTCCCTGATTTGATTGATTTTTGAAATTAGAATAGATATTGCAGGCTTATTATATCTCTCAATTATAACCATGTCTGTAAAAAGGTGTGTAGTTGAATCATAGTTTATGAGGTCATTTGTTTCTAAATAACATGAGAATCCCTTTAACTGGAAAAAAAACCTCATGCAGCAATATCCCTAAACCCATCACTTTCTAAGTGAGACTGATTAATCATATTTTACAGAGAGGCACAGGTGTAACTAATAATTTATTGTGGCTGCATTCCATTTAGGTGTACACTTTCAGGGTCCTGGTAGCATGCATGTTGACTCACAGACATGGCTTACTGGAACATTTAATGGAACAGAGCCATTATTAATGTTATCAGTTATGCTGTGCTTCTCCTGCTTTGAAAGTCAAAAGTTCTACGCCTATAAATCAGGCTGTAAAAAACCCATCAAACTTAAATCTAACATATTGTACATTCCTGCCCACACCCCTACCAAAACACATAAATCTCGTACCAGATATCATTTTTATCGACTATTTCTTCATCATTTATGTTTATGACAGGCCTTTGACAGCAGCATCCATCTTCTTAGAACAGGTCCTTCCCTGCAGCTCTTCTAGATGTCCCTCTCCATGCCATCCTGACTGACTAAGGCTATTAAAAGTCAATCACAAGATAGTCATGAGCTCCATTCAGCACCCTGAACCTCCGTGAGAATGAAGTCAGCCAAAAAGCTCATTCCTCGTCTTTGACTCATAAATATCTCATGACATCAGAAATGAGGAACAAAGGGATCGTGAAATTTGCTTCCTCTAGCTGATTCGTGAGAGAGGTGAGGTGACACAATCCAAGTTTATGTGAGTTTATTTGGGTGCCCTATCTGATGATGGATGAGTTGAGATAAATAAGTGTCAGCATATTAAAAATAGAGTCTCAGCATAAATAAGTCTCAGCATATTACATACCGTATGTACGGTATGTAATGTGCTGAGATCTCATAGGTCTGAAGAAAGCTGAAAATGTATTTATTTTCCTTCTGTTTTGTTCTCAAAATTGGTCAAAATCTTTATTTGATATTATTTACTTCATTGGACTACATTCAGACATGTATTTCTGGCAATATACTTGGAAAAAAATCAGGGAATGTGAAACCCCAAAAATCTCATAAAATAGTCCCAAATGGAAAAGATCAGTGTCTATCCATGGGAACCAGTGGTCTGCGGCTCTAACAGGCTCCAGCACCTGTTTTTTTCCCTTCATCCCTTTTTCCAACCCATTGTATATGACTAAATCTGGGGGCTGCACTGGGATTTACAGATGTTCTGTGTTTTGGAATCTGGGTAAAAGGTCACCATGCAGCGTAGAGATGCGAGCAGACATTTTTGGAAGTTGAATAAGCTGTGTCAATGGATCCAGTAATGATCTTTTTCTTTATTCCAGTCTGGGTAAAATCCAGTGGTAGAAAGTAACTAACTACTCAAATAGTGTACTTAAGGACTGTTTTGAGGCACTACTGGAGTATTTCCATTTGGAGCTGTTTCATACTTAACCTCTACCACATTCTGAAAGAAAATATTTTATTTTTACTCCACTACAATTTTTGACACCATGCAGTTAGCCTATTATATATATATATATATATATATATATATATATATATATATATATATATATATATATAGTGTCAGTTATCTTAATCTGTAACAGTGTAACATATTTTGTAAGATTACATGTTAAATTTGAATCCACAATGCAACTAATAGCCTAATTAAACTTTTCTCCACCTTGGTCAAGTATTAAAATACCTATAGCCTTTTTTTAACGCTTTTTGTACTTAAGTGACATTTTCTATGCACTTGCATTTACTTGTAATGGAGTATTTTTACACTGTGGTGTTAATGTTTTTACTAAAATATCTAAAACGCTTTTCCCACCACTGATGAAACCACAAGGAGAATAACATGTTAACTATTATTCAATAGTGTCTTTAAGACCATGATGGAAACAAGCATGTCATCCTTCAAGTATGAGACAGTTTGACTCAAGCCAACTGCAATCTCGCACCGCAAATTCACAGTTTTCCAGAACATACCCACACACATATGTTTCATCAAGCTCTTAAACAACCAGCTCCTCCTGACTGACACACGGCTGTAATTCATCTGAGCCTTCACATTCAGACATATTTCTCTAAATCTGAACGTCAGAGTCAGATAAATGAGTCATCTGTTTGCCTGATGTGACACAGACATTACCGCAAAAAAGCCACACATGATGGCTTCTTTCACACCCTTTACTGCACACCCTGCTCACATAGCTGCCAGGTTGTGTAATGCCCCAGAAGAATGAAACAGGGGATGTGCATTATTTAGCCTACATGTACAATCATGACAATCATGTAGCCTACCAGACTGTCAAGTTCAACTAATACTGCATTTGTTAGGTTAAGTGGGTGTCATGTTCCTGCCCTGCAGTAGACAGATTCCTTTCAACCACTTCACCTTTCCTTCACCTGTGAAAAATATTTCAGCAAATTAAAAACATGTTTCCATTCAATGATAGGCCTGCTGCACTGGAACTGATAGGAGATGAATCGCCACTGCAGCTAACACACAGGTCTTTAGGTTTGTACAAACAAAAGGAAATCTGTCTGCACTGACCTCAGTGTTCCTGAAGGAAAAGATTACTCAAACTGAATTAGTAACACCCATTTTTCACTGGAACACAGCAGTCTTTGGACCTCCTGGTGGAAACCCTCTCTCTGCCAAGGATTTGTAGAAAATAATGCATGATTGTTACATTCCCCCTCTCAGCAACGTCAGCAGTCTCCCAGTTACCTTTCACCTACTTAGTCCGGGCTGCAGACAGGAGAGGGTTAAACCAGCTCCTTCTTTGTGGTCTGGCCACTGATCACGTAGCCTGTGGCCTGCACGCTCCCATGCAGAGGCTGTTAAAGAAAAAAAAACTACTGCACGTAATGTTGGCATTCTCTGTGCTGTGAACTTTCCCCTAATTCTCACAGTCTTCGCGGCCTCCAGCAGATCTTTGCTGAGGAGCACCTCGTTTTAACACCTCCCCTGACGTGCTCGACGGTGTCACTGACTTCATTCATTCCTCAAGTTATCCCCAGAAAAATGATTGAGAAATCATCCTTATACTGTTTCTATAACATCTATTAGAAATGTTTTTTTACTTTATGATCTCATCTATCTGTATCAGGGTTAGAGCTGATAATCGGGCTAATTCAATTTAAAGAAAAATAAAGGGTCAAGGAGATCCTCCCATGACAGGAAGCCAGAATAACATGTTGAGCAGATCAATTCTTGTTAATTATTTTGTCTGAATTCACACAGATTTGAATAACACAAAAGTAATTTACACATTACAAATTTTTAATACTTCTCTGCCTTGTTCGTCAAATTACTTTCAGTAAGAACAGCACGTGATCCTTAATAGGCAAAGACAGTAGCCTATATATAGCTATACATATAGGACAGAAAAAATACAGAAATAGCAAGATCCATAGGCCTATACTGAATGACAAGATATCATCAATAAAGTGACGTTACAACACACGGGTTGCATAGAGATCTTCCCTTCATGACTGTGTGAATTAATGACAGAAAGAGGAGGCTCCAATTCTCCCCTCAAATGGCGATGAATCCGCTTTATAAAGGTCAGCGTGTGCGGTCCAGTTACAGTGCAGCACATTGTGGCATTTTCCACTTTCACTTTAATTATCCAGCTTAGTGCATTTTTTTACACTTCAGTCAAATCAAACCGGTTTACTGTAAATGCTGTTTCCTGACATTAAAAAATGGCCTGTTAAACAAGGTTGTGATATTTCTGCAGATCTACTGTGACATGTTTTGAGCTATGAATACTGAATTAACTCTATGTTATGAGCGTAGTAGCCTAATAGACAGTTCTGTTAACCTTGCCAAGCAATTTCAGGGTGTCCCTGTGCTGGTAACTGCATTAGCTCACTTGTTCAGAATAGGCTACTGCACTTATGGGTGAATTCATTAAGAATTCCGTCTCACGGTCCGATTCACAAAAAATGTTGCGCTAATAATATTAGCCCATAAATGTATGTTAAATGTTAATCTGTAGCTAGTGGTTCCAATAATATTTCTTCTTAAAATAGTAAGCTATTGAAATAGACGATCACACGACATGGCCATGCAACATGTGAGTCAGAAATCTTTAATGTTCTAAAAAAAAAAAAATCCACTCAAATGTCAAAATGTTTGATTTGAAAGAGAACTTATTCTAATCATAATTATTATTATTATTATATAATCTAATTGTAATTATTCTAATTGTCCATTTACTCCCCCTGCTCTTTCATTCATTTCAACCTGCGGGATTTTGCTCGCTTTTCTATGACTCACGGAGTGTTTTGTCAGAGTGATTGTTATTTGAGATGCTTTAATTGTGCCTTCCCGCTCATGCGTCTGAGCGCACGGAGAGCAGTTTTCTCCACTCTGGTTTTATCTTGTTTCCCAGCTTCATTCCATCGTGGTTATTATCAGGTATTGTAGCCTACTGTCTGTGCCACCTGTGCGCTGATGCTTCGCCTGGCTACAATCACCGCTGCCATTGTCACTTAAAAGTTTGGTTGTGACACCCTTTTAAAATGAGCTTCAGTTAACACCAACTCTCCGAAGACGGTAATAAGCTCACTCTAACTGCGTGTGGCTATTAACGCTGGTGTTCGTGGCTTTCACGTTTTTGCAATGAGGCTCATTTGCATAGAAAGGGACAATGTAGCCTATAATTTAAATAGGCCTAGGCCTACATGCAAATGAGTTGCCAACTCCTTACGGATTCCTTTAAGGGTTTGTTTTTGCCTTATTTGTGCAGGTTTGGCTACCGCAAAAGTCACGCAATCCTTGAATCCGGGAATTCGGCCGTTTCAGCAACACTTCACAATAAATGAAGACGTTTGTTTCACTGCTGCGGATATCACCGTTTACTTTCCTGGCAGAAGATAATGTAGACCCCGTCTCCCACAGTGCGGAGATGAAAGACAATCTTTTTGTTATATCATGTCCCTCCTCCGCCTCTGACATGAATATTTAATAGAGAGGTGAAGGAGGGACAGAAACCTGAGAGTGACTGCACCCCTCCCTCTCCTCGGCTGGCCAATGGCAGGCAGCTCATAGCTTGACTTGAGGGCTGGGAAGCTATATAACAGTAGTGCTCAAACTGTCGAGCCTGAAGCTTGAGCTCTTAATGCTGACTCAAGCAGACAGGACAGGACACTGCACCCTTCTGTATCAGGAAAAAACTAAATTTACAGCAACATTTCAACAGCTTAGGACAACGACAGCAATGAAGACAACACTGGCAACTCTGACTCTCTGCCTGGTGGTGCTCATGGCCACAGGTTTCCCTTTCGAGAGGAAAGGGGGCTCACCCTCCGGCAGTGCTGCCAAGGAGAAGCGTGTACAGTATGCAGCGTGGGATGATGTAAATGTCATTGCCCATGGGCTACTGCAGCTGGGCCAGGGCCTGAAGGAGCACGTAGACAAAACCAAAGTCCAGATGAGGGACATTTCCAGCAAGCTGAAGGTCTTCAATCGCACCGTGGCCGAGCTGGGGAAGGAAAGCCAGAAACTGAGAGTAGAGGGGGAGGCCCTGAAAGCTCGTGCCCATGGACTGGAGGACAGAGAGGGGCAGCTGCTGAATGTCACAGCGGGGCTGAGGGAGAAGGCGGAGGAGATGCAGCAGGAGAGGAGGACGATGAGCGAGAGGATGAGCCGGCTGGAAGAGAGGGTGGACAGCATGCTGCAGGGAGAGACGATGCTGGCTGACACGAACACCGGTGCCAAGAACAACAGTGATGCTCGCAACATCCAGGTAAGGATACAAGCGCTTCTGACTTTGGTTTTTGATTATGATCATTTCTTGGGGAAGGCAGAATCGTGTTATCAGAGGGATGGTGGGGTTGTCAAAAAGAGGCTTTCCAGTGTATTCAAAATATTATTCCTATGTTCATTACGTCAAGATATTATACAATAAAGCCCCCACAGAGAAGTGCAAAGTGTTTTTATGTACTGCAGTAAGATGGTTAAAGACTCTAGATGGTAGATGGTTAAAGTGGGTGTACGCAACAGTGTGCTTTTTCCATGAGCTGAAAGGCACTAAATCCAAATGCACAGAGGACAAGCATTGGGGTGGTGGGCGTAGTGTATTTTGGGGGGGGGTGAACAAGCCAGCACAAGAAGGGACGTGAAGTACGTGCAGGGAAACACTAAAAGTATAGTCTGTACGCATCAGCTACAAGAATGTGTTAATAATTTTCACAGCTGTGACATTTTACAACCTGGAGAGTGGTGGAAGGGGCGCGTGTGACAGTTGTGCTTTCTTTGCTGGTCTACGTTAACAATGCAGTTTGTCAGCCTGAAGGCTTTATAGTGTGGTGGAAAATCCCGCGCTATGAGGGAGTTACATAACCGCACCACTGTCGGTTGGAAAGCATATGCCTGTCATAAAGGGGTGGACATGTGTCTTGGGATCTTTTTGTCTCAGGCTTTTCAATGAAATCCTGCAGGTGGCCTGTGTGTTATGTAGACTGTGGTGTGTATTTGGCGATGTCTTTTAAAGTTAAAAAGCGCCATGGGCACATTTGTACGCACAGACGGGAATAAAAGTTGATACATTGCTAAAAATGTGGTATCTTGTTATTTTTCTGTCAGCTGATGCTAGAGGCTCAGAACAGGCGCATTGATCATCTGGTGGAGAGGATCAGACTCCAGCAGGAGAAGCTTGACAAGCAGAATGTGCGCATCAGGACGTTGCAAAGTCAGGTGAGGAAGCGTTACAATTACTCACACAGCTTGCAAACAAACCGTTCTGCATCCCACATCAGAGTAATAGTTTTTTTTTTATTATTATTTTGTCACATTTTCGGCAATCTCATAAGTGGTTCGTAACTTCTTTTCAGATCCAACAGTCACGACAGAGACCAGCCTTGCGGAGCAGCAACACTGACGGCTCCGAGCAAAGTGGCGCCGCGGAGCAACGCGACTCACCAGTCGGTAAGTAAAGCCAGAAAGACGTCCAACATCCCCTGTTGGCACTGTCTTAAGTCGATTGAACAAAATCTGACGCCAAATGTGGCTGGCCATCTGTTTAGTCAGACCATAAAGACGCTTAAATCACTAGCAATTAAAATCAAGGAATCTAATCACGCTTCTCTGCTCAGCGTGACGCCAGAAATATCAGCTGGTGGACTTTTTGCTGAAGCTGTGCCTTTTAGCCCGTGAAATCCTAATGACATTACTCAGCTAATACAAGATAACTTTACACAGTTAAATTAGTAAAAAAAATAAATAAATAAATAAAATATTTATCATTCATTTTATTTCAGTCAACACCACATAAAGTACTTTCAAAGAGAAATGGAAATGAACACTGTCAGAATGCCCCTCATACTGTGTATTACACTTAACTGACTGGATTAGCAGTTTCATCCACACTGTCCTGGACTGGATACACACTTAAAGTGCACATTGAAATAGTAGATTTTTAATAATTATAGATCAATAAAACTTGGACTAAATTTTCAAGTCAAACCT